TATATATATATATATAGATATATATATATATATATATATATATATATATATATATATATATATATATATATATATATATATATATATATATATATATATATATATATATATATATATATATATATATATATATATATATATATATATATATATATATATATATATATATATATATATATATATATATATATATATATATATATATATATATATATATATATATATATATATATATATATATATATATATATATATATATATATATATATATATATATATATATATATATATATATATATATATATATATATATATATATATATATATATATATATATATATATATATATATATATATATATATATATATATATATATATATATATATATATATATATATATATATATATATATATATATATATATATATATATATATATATATATATATATATATATATATATATATATATATATATATATATATATATATATATATATATATATATATATATATATATATATATATATATATATATATATATATATATATATATATATATATATATATATATATATATATATATATATATATATATATATATATATATATATATATATATATATAGTGGCAAAACAATATATCGCAATGTCAGATTTTTCCAATATTGTGCAGTCCTAATACAAACAGAGCAAACATCAACACTTGGATCCACACAAATTGTTGTTTGTTTTATATTATGCATTATATTTGATAATGATGTTTGACTTTGCAGGGAGTTTCTTGGTCAAGGCTGGATGAAGATGGACAAAAATGAAAGAACTCCATACATTATGAAGACCAGTCAGCACTTCAATGATGTGAGCACTAATTTAAAAAACTATATATACACCACTACAAAACTTCAACAAAACTTTATATTTATTACAGCGTGTTTCTCTTCATTTTTCCTGTTTATCAAATTTAATTTTATTATTTTATTTAATATTTCTTAGCAACATATAAATTTGGGTGTACTCGTTTTTTTGTTTTGTTTTTTGTTTTTTTACTGTGATCGTGTTATTTTGTGAGATTAGTTCCATTTTTGGCTTTGGTACTCACTAATCTAATATGCACAAATATAATACTATAAAGCATCTTATAGAAAAACTATGAATTTAAAAGAAATATCTATAAGGGGTGTAATCCCAGCAGGCACACAACGTCATAAAACTTTAATATTAGGTAAGATTTAGGGTGTGATGTCAGGTGACCAAAATTCAATGTCCAATCAGCGTCTAAGGAAAACGTTATTTTGACGTTTATTAATGACAAGAAATTATGTTTACAGTTGATTTTAGGTTGTGTTGCAAAGTGACCAAAATCTAACGTTGAATCAACATCTTAAACCAACGTCATATTGGTGTCAAATACTGACATTTATTTATCAAGTATAGCCACCAAAATTCAACGTCTAAAAGACGTTAAAGTGGTTATAACCACACAACGTCAAGCTGTAACATCATTAGATGTTGATATTTGGTTGATTTCAGGTTATGTTGGAAAGTGACCAAAATCCAACGTTGAGCCAACATCTTAAACCAACGTCATATTAACATCAAATACATTTATTTGTCAGGTATGGCAACTACAGTCCAACATCTGATAGACATCATAGTGGTAATGTCCACACAACGCCAAGCTGTGACATCATTAGACGTTGATATTGGGTTATTTTTAGATAGGACGTTAGTCATTGACGTTAACCCGCTTTACATTTCCAAACAGAATGCAACATCCCGACTCCAATCTGACGTCATGTTGACATCCTGTGCCTTCTGGGTTAATTTATGAAGAGCACTGTAATCAGCACACTGATTTAAAAACAAAAAATCTCTTTTCGAGAAGAAAACCATAGTTTTAATATACTAATTTAAGATTGAGAAAGACTATGCATATTAATCACAATGAAAATACCTTATTAATCCCAGTGGGAAATTGCGTTTGTTACAGGTGATACTCAGAAATAGATAAGAAATATAGAATTAAAGATAAAGGTGAAAATAAAAAGAAAATGTATCAAATGAAATCAAGGAAAAGATCCAATATAGACAAGCTTTACAATATACAGTTGAAGTCGGAATTATTACCCCCCCCCCCCCCCCCCATATATATTTTTTCCTCAATTTCCGACTTTCTTTCAGCACATTTCTAATCATAATAGTTTTAATAACTCATTTCTAATAACTGATTCATTCTATCTTTGCCATGATGACAGTTAATAATATTTGATTAGATATTTTTCAAGACACTTCTATACAGCTTAAAGTGACATTTAAAGGCTTAACTAGGTTAAATAGGTTAAAGTTAGGGTAATTAGGCAAGTTATTGTATAACAGTGGTTAGTTCTGTAGACTATGAAAATAAATATTTCTTAAGAGGGCTAATAATATTGAACAAATTAAAAGCTTTTATTCTAGCAGAAATAAAATAATACTCTCTCCAGAAGAAAACAAATATTAGAAATAGATTTGAAAAATTCCTAGCTCTGTTAAACATTTGGGAAATAAACGAAAAAAAATCACAGGAGGGCGAATCATTTTGACGTTAACACTACATGTAATATGCATAATGGCTTCATGTGATTTTCTTGAAGCAGTGTAACTGGGTTGTCTCCACAGATGAGTAATCTGGTAGCTTCTGAGATTATGGCTCATGCAGATGTGAGCTCCAGGGCTGGATCCATTGACAAGTGGCTGGCAGTGGCTGATATCTGCCGCTGTCTCAACAACTACAACGGAGTCTTGGAAATCACATCTGCACTGAACCGCAGCGCCATCTACAGGCTGAAGAAGACATGGGCCAAGGTTTGCAAACAGGTAGGTCTGAAATAAAATAAAAGACTGTGTTTTATTTATTTTTTAAGGGGCTGTTTTGGTCATTTTAATCATCCATGGATTTTTTTTTAATCAGACCAAGGCATTAATGGATAGGCTGCAGAAGATCGTGTCGTCTGAAGGGAGGTTTAAGAACCTGAGGGAAACTCTGAAGAAGTAAGTTCACGTTTGTTACTGCCTTTTTGGTCTTGTTTTACAGTATAATGATCAAACCATTGCTTTATTTATCTGAGAAACAAAAGGTATTAAGAATTACAAAACAAATGTAAAAACGAATCAAAATGCTAAAACGTAGCATGCTAACGTTTCCCTGGCTTTCATTGACTACAGCTGACCTTCCATGACAGCTAATAAACGTAATAACAGGTTTTATTGGGCTTATATATTAATTATATAATATTAAAATAATATTAAACACAATATTTAAATGTTTTTAGCTTGAATTCAATTTTGTAGGACTTTAATAGCCAGTTAGCAACTATGAGAACAGCAATGATAATTTACCTCAGAATAAAAAATAAAAAAACTGAAGTATTTTCTGTTTGAAAGGCTGTGAAGTGCTCTTTCTCCCATGTTTGATAGCTCAAAATAAGTTTTACAAACATTATATTTAGCTTTTCTGTCATCTGTTCTTTTTTAAGTTGTCATTTTGAAGCCAAAGCTATTAAAATGTACATAATCCTGGCATGTTTGTCTTAGTTAACACAGAGTATATACAGGAATCAGAGAGTGAAATTCAATACCTTTTAAGACCTTTTTTAAGACTCTTTCCATACATTTTAAGACCTTATAACTACTTTTTAACCGGAAACATTGGAGATTTTAGCTTACAGTATATTTACTAAATATTAATGGAAGAAGTTCATCCAAACTAAAACATTATTCATATCCTGGCTGAAAAATCCAGCTTAAACCAGCCTAGGCTGGTTGGCTAGTTTTAGCTGGTTGACCAGCCTGGTTTTAGAGGGGTTTTGGCCATTTACAGGCTGGTTTCCAGCTATTTCCAGCCTGGTCTTAGCTGGTCAGGCTGGAAAGTGACCAGCTAAAACCATCTAAAATCAGCTTGTCCATTCTGGTTTAAGCTAGACACAGCTGGTTATGGCTGGGCTTCTGGGAAATGGCTAGAAACCAGCCTGGAAGTGACTAAAACCCCTCTAAAACCAGCCTGGTTGACCAGCTAAAACCAGCCAACCATCCTAGGCTGGTTTAAGCTGGATTTTTCAGCAGGGCTTAAAAATCTATTAAATCTATCTAATTCAGCAGGTTGGCGCCTATAGAACTGCAAAAATAATGGTGTTGCCTTGGTTACTGCAGTAAACAAAGCAGCATTATGTCAAATCTAGTAGGATATCATTGATTTCATAAACACAGCATCCTGATATTCGCAGATTTAATTCAGGCAAACTTTAGCATACAACCATGCATTGCATAATCAAAAATGATATAACATTTAATATCTTGCAAAATAGCATTTAAGACTTTTTAATACTTTTTAAGGGCCTTATATTTTTCTACATTGATTTATCAACTTTTAATTTTTTTTTAAGACCCCTGTAACAGGTACATTCTGGTGACAGCATTTGATTTTAGTCACTGACAGTTGATGAACACGAATAGAATAAAACAAAGCTGAAATTTGTTTTAAAAACAACACGACATCTCGGGCTTGACTATATATATTCATAAGTAGAAACTTGAATTTAAATTGACAAACAAAAATCCCTGATACTCCTTTAGATGGACAAATATATAAAAATTTCATGATATCCCACAAATTCCTTGAGGTGTGGCAAACCTCACATGAAGTGTGATAATAAAATAAGCAGAAATCAAGATTATTTTCTTGCTTTGATAAAAGATTTAGGCTTAACTATAAATTTGTATATACTTTTCTTAATATTTCATGATCAATTTAAGAATATTTAGATAATTGTACTATTTTTATTTACAGAATAATATACACACTATGTGATTTTACACTTGCTACTGTATTTAATCCACAGCTGTAACCCACCGTGTGTGCCCTATCTGGGCATGTACCTGACAGATTTGGCATTTATCGAGGAAGGAACACCCAATTTCACGGAGGAGGGTCTCGTCAACTTCTCTAAAATGAGGATGGTAAGTGCTGGCCTGCTCAAAGTTACTGTAGGACTTCACATGTCAGAATTGTTGAAAGACATCAATAAAGATCGGTCTTTAATTATCCTATTCTATGTTTTTCGCAGATTTCACACATAATACGAGAGATTCGACAGTTTCAGCAGGCGCCCTATAGGATTGAACTGCAACCTAAGGTACAGTGTTAATGTATAGTGTCCTCATGTACACTTTTAACCCTGAAAAACCTGACCTGTATGATAGTAGAAAAGAATATTTTGAAAATTTGGAACATTTAATCAACCATTTGGCAAAAAAAAAAAAGTTTGCATACAGTTGAGTTCAGAATTATTAGCTCCCGTTTATTTTTCCCTGATTTCTGTTTAACGGAGAGCAGATTTTTTCAACACATTTCTAATCAGAATAGTTTAAATATCTCATTTCTAATTGATTTATTTTACCTTTGCCATGATGACAGTAAATAACATTTGACTATACATTTTTCAAGACACTTCTACAGGGTCTCTGCAGATATCATAATGTCAAATTTAAGACCTTTTTAAGACCATTAAGTATTAAATTTAAGACCTATATCGCAATATCAAAAACACGCGAGAGAAAATGTAAAAGCACAAAATTAGGGGTAAAATAAAGTTATTTAAATTTCGCTCTTTCGCATTACAACGCTCCCGACTTATAAAACTGCGCTTGCGACATGTGTCAGTGAAATAACAGCATACTCTGCCAGCCGAAATCATGTCGCGCGCACTTAAAGCGAACTTCCGCAAACACATCGATGACGTCACATTCGCCGCGCGCACTGAGTTTAATATCAGAAAGCTGATTGGCTATTGCAAGTTGACTTTTTTGTAGTTGTAATTCCGCAAATTACAATTGGACTTGTGAAATATAGAACTACAACACCCCAAAAATCTAGCAACAACAACAAAAAGAATTTAAATAAGCATTAGATGTAGCGTTACATGGACATCGCAAAAATAAGACCTGTGCAAAAATATTTAAGACCTAGAACAGCAAATTTAAGACTTTTTAAAGCCATAAATTTCGATTTTTTAATTTAAGACTTTTTAATACTTTTTAAGACCCCGCGGGGACCCTGTTCTATACAGCTTAAAGTTACATTTAAAGGCTTAACTAGGTTAGTTGGGTTAACTAAGCAGGTTAGGGTAATTAGGCAAGTTATTGTATGACAGTGGTTTGTTCTGTAGACAACAAAAAAAAAACATAGCTTGCAGGGGCTAATAATATTGGCGTTAAAATGGTGTTTAAAAAATGTAATCTTCTTTTGTTCTAGCTGAAATAAAACAAATAAGACTTTCTCCAGAAGAAAAAATATTATTTCTACACGCACCGCGTGTATTATGGGGCCTGAGGTGTGTTTACTTACTGATTCACAGTTGATCCGAATGTGGAATCCGATTATGAAAGACTGTTTTTCTCTCAGGTGACACAGTTCCTCCTGGATAAGACCCTTGTAATGGACGAGGACACGCTTTATGAACTATCTCTGAAGATCGAGCCAAGACTTCCACCTGCCAACTAAACACAATGATCATGTTTACACCAGACTCCGATATCCAGAGAGTCAGTTTGTGAGAATCCAAATCTCAAAGTCTGAACCACTTATCCATATATATTCACCTCATTCCAGATGATTGCTGTAAACTCAGGTATTAATGTGCCTTGTTGTAAATGTTATGAAATTTCTTGGTACATATTTATAGGATGGTGCAATTTAATATCAGTTTGATAATCTCTTGATAATGTTTTTTACCTGAAGGCGAAAATATCAGCTCGGTTTTTAAGTCTAATCATGTCTTTAGTATATTAGTGTTCATGTTTGTATGCATACAAATGGGTTTAGATGAAACAATGTCTCACAAATTACTTGTATAAATAGTTTATGAGGATTCTTCATAGACATAATGTATTTTATACTGTAAAAAACGCTATTTACCTCACCCCGACCCCTATATATATATATATATATATATATATATATATATATATATATAATTTTAAGTATTTTGAATTACAAGGACACATGGCATGTCCTCATAAACCACTTTACTAGAGTACAACCCATGTCATCATACAATTTACTTGTACACCAGATAAACAAGCGCATAAACGTCCACACAAACACACATATACTTGTATTCATGGTTAACAGGGGCACTCCATATTTTATACAGTAAAAACTGCCTATAATATTGCACTACCCCACCCCTAACCCACCTGTGGCAAAATTTGAAAATCAAAAAGCTTTGTTAAATATGATTTTTAAGCGTTTTCCATTCCAGGGTCCCTCTAAACCACCTTAACAGAGAACAACAAAGTCATACCCATGTCATAATACAACTTCATGTCCCTTTACCTAATATACCTGTACACACACTAGGGTTTACATGAAGCAAGGTCACACACACACGTACTTGTATACATGGTTTACAAGGACACTCCATAATTTATATAGTAAAAACCACTTATAATATTGCACTACACCACCCCTAACCCTAAACCCAACCCACCTGTGGCAAAATTTGAAAACCAAAAATGATTTTTAATAGTGTTGAATTAGAGGGACATTAGGTGTGACCCTCTAAACCACCTTAATAGATAACAACTAAATCATACCCATGTCGTTATACAACTTCATGTCCCTTTAAACCGAATACACCTGTACACACACTAGGGTTAAGATGAAGCAATGTCTCACACACACATATACTTGTATACATGGTTTACAGGGACACTCCATATTTTATGTAGTAATAACCACTTATAATATTGCACTACCCCACCCCTAACCCTAAACCCAACCCTCCAGTGGCAATATTTGAAAATCAAAAGACTTTGTTAAATATGACTTTTAATAGTGTTGAATTAGAGGGAAACGAGGTGTAAACCTCCTTAATAGAGAACAACTAAGCCATACCCAAGTTAATATACAACTCTGTGTCCCTGTAAACCTAATATACCTGTACACACACTAGGGTTGTCACGATACTGGAATTCGGTACAAATCGAAACTGAAATAATAATAATAATTTTAAAAAAGTCCATTTCCCGCTAACATTTGAGCGCTGTTGTGCCATTTCTGTTCACATGATCAACAGAAATGACTAGGATTGGCCGTGAAGGTCATCAGTTAACTGAACTCACCGATGTTTACTGAGTGCAACCACAGATACAGGGACGCTGGAGCATTTTAAAGCCCTGATTCATGAGCGGATCACTCATGTCAGCTTATAGACAAACCGGCTGATGGAAGTGACTTTAAAACTCTGTGACCATGTGGGTCAGTCAATCAGTCAGTCAGTCAGTCGACAGCGGCCTCTGGTGGATTTACCTGAGAACAGCAGGCGCTCATGGCATTGAGTGAAATTGTAATTATAATTATATAGTCAGATCACACTGCATGTTTTGTTTGTAGGCGTATTTTGATATTTTCAGCATGTGTTTGCATGAATCGCTAGATCATTTTGGATTAACGAGAGCAGTTTCTATTGTTCAAATCATCTGTTTTTCGATACTGCGAGCTCAAACCTTACCGGATTACGTGATGGTAAGGCCAAAGTACTGTAGTACTGACTTATTACCGGATCTGTGTGCCATTATACTGAAACAGCACACTCCATACTACAGTAAAAAATCTAGAATAACTGAAGGTTAATGCAGAGGACACATTTATTGTTCGTTTTTAACATGAGAACGAGTCATTCTCCATTTTACAGTTTATGGTTGTTTCCATAAAATTCACTCTTTTAACATTTTACACCTTCTTAAATGTTCATTTTGAGTCTGTTTTTGTATAAAGATAAATGGATTGTTGTTTTTTGATTTATTCAAGCATATGTCTGTACAGTGCCCTGTTTATTTCATTATTTATACGAGTGTTTATTGAAACTTTGACCTGGAAAACCTAGAGAACTTTATGCCGAGTTCAGACTGCATGGTTTTTAGCCCCGATTTTGACTCGCCGGCAGGTTTTGAGAAATCACAGGTAAATCAGCGCTCGTGCATGCGAGAGACAATCAATCACACAGTATAAACTATCAAAGACGCGATCTGAGAGAATCGCAGATGAGTCGCCGATGCCTGTGAGATATTTGGCATGCTGAATATCTGGAGCTGTCGGAGATTCAAATCATGCCGTGTGAAATGAGTTCAGACTGAAAATAACATCGGCGATCGCCTACAGCCAATGAGAGAGCAGCATACACTTGTGTGTGTGTGTATACCTGCTGCAGGCCAGTGGGAGGTTGAAGGAGAAGTTAAAAGCACTCATTTGGGTTTATTTGGACCCAAGAAATGGAGTAAAACTAGTGGAGATTTGACAGGAGCACCCGTGTCTGTTTGATGTGTCATACAGAAAGTTAAAAATAGAAAGTCGAGGTGAAATTGCTAATACCCTTCAAACCCAGGTGAGCAAATATGTACATTTTCTACCCTATTAAAGGCTTCTTTCTCGTTATGTAGTTAATAACAAAAGATATACTACGTGTTTTTGGCTGTGAGACGTAGTTTGGACGAAGTTGTCAGCGATTCTTCCTATTGTAAAGTCATGCAATGTGAAAGCCTCTGTCGCCGATACATCTTGCAGTGTAAAAATAAAGCAGCGACAAAGCGCTAACACAGATAGTCATGCAGTGTGAAAACATCTGTGACACGACTACTTTGAAAATCCTGCAGTCTGAACTCAGCAATAGGCAGCCCTGCATTGTTGTTTTGCATTTAAATACTCCTCAAGGAGTGACTTTGTCTTTTCATAAACTAATTATTGTCTTTTTTTAAACAATAGACAACTTTCTCTGTTCTGTACATCTTTCCATGAAGCTAATAAAACTTTTTGCCTTATCTTCAGTATGCTTGTTTTTAATTACACATTGAAAAGATGAATTATAGCACAAAAAAATCTTACATAAAAGCTTACATAATTATGATCTGCATATGAGTTGTTGACTTGACGTTGCATTTTTACTAAAAGGAAAATTGTCAAATTATTCATAAATACCTTAGGCTTAATTTCACAAGTGGCTATTTTAGTGAATGTCAGTGCTGTGATGGTACGTATGGCTGCATTTCGTCTTTAAAACTAATGCTACAGGGCGGTATGTCGCAGACAACAGCTTCTACTACAGGCTGACTGCTTACCTTCGTATGCTTCCCCAAACCCAAGCAACGATTTACAAAAGCCATCCAGAAAAAGAAAAGCCCTTGTCTGATTTTTACCACGTCTTCAGATTTCACCACATTCTCACCCTGTTATGAACTTGTTCACTTTATTAATTGGATTCTGTTTTTGTCTTACCTGATTTCTGGAACCGCTCTTACCCGGTCGTCGCGGTCAGCTCCTCTCCGCATCTCAACTCCGCGACATAAATGACGAGCTAACTGGGCAAGCTTGTTGCGGCGGGAAAGCCATCCACACGGAGGTAAGCGGTCAGCAGGCGAGCGTGAAAAGAAACGCCGTCACACCGTCCCGTAGTGTTCACTTAAAAAATTAAATGGCATACGTACACTCTGGCTACATAAATCGAGGGTCTCCAGAAACACCTGCGGGACTATGTTTTCAGAATGAGACTGGGTTGGGTTTATTTGCATACAGCGATCTGATTGGTTGATGCTTCCGCCGGCGCTTGAAAAGTTGAGCTAGTTCCAACTTCTGCAGCAAGCAAGGCAGTTCAGCAACGCTTGACATCACCAATTCAAAGTGATTGGGAAGCGTTGACGCTGATGCCCCGTGTGAATTGGGCGTAACAAAGCAGGGTCAAGTGACTATACACGGTAGGGAAAATAATTGAAAAAATTGACCTGAGAAAAGTAGATCGATTATAGGTTCCGAATGTCGATTTCAATAATTTTTTTATTTAATCGCCCAGCCCTGATGTACTGTCTGTCGCCATGCCAAAGACTAAATAAATTACTCTGTAAAAAAATACTGGTTGCCTTAATTTTTTAAGCTGAATTAAATTAACCTTATGAGTCCTTTGAATTTATATTACGTTAAACTGACTTTAAAAAGCTTTCGTAAGAAAATTTACAACGTGATTAACTTAGTTTAATAAGTTATAATGAACTAAAAACATATGTTGGCATGACAAATGTATCATATAAATTTTTACAATGTAGTTATTAGAAATCAACTATTGTCGGTGCCAATGGTGTAGAGGAAACTGTACTGACACATGCGTTCTAGTGTTCACGGCGACCCGAGTTTGATTCCCGCTTCGAGGTCCTATCCCAATCCTTCCCCTCTCTCTGCTCCCCACACTTTCCTGTCAATTCTCTCTTCTGTCCTGTCAAATAAATGTTAAGGTAATAAAAGAAATCAGTTATTAAAACTATTATATTTAAAAATCTGTTGAAAATCTCTGATAAGCAACATTTGGAAAATACATTTAAAAGACTTCAAATATTTAATCATTTTGACTTCAGCTGCACATCTTAAAAGTGATTTGCTATTGGGATGAATTAGTAATGGTGGCTGTGAATAAGAGGCTATGTAGAGGTTATAAAGTAGAGTGCAAAGCGCTGGACTATGGCGGCAGGTCTCAAGGACAAGCTGGACGACAGACACGGGTTATGACCTGGCACTCACATGGAAGAGGATTGGCCATCAGGTCGGCTTCTAATCCCATATCCTGGGAGGAGCGCCAGATTCCCGCACAGACTGTGTGCTTCCTGACACTGAGGAGACTCTACAGGTAAAACTCTCCTCTTTTACATTACTTTGCTTAGTATAACCAAATGTCAATTTTGATCCTGGAGAGTAAGGATCCTAGAGTTTATTAGTCATAGTTTTACTACACTATAAATAATTTCTTGCTGCCCTAAATTTGTTTTTGTTTTCTAGTCGTCATCTCTACTTACATCAAGCAAACTTACTAAAAAGATGAAGTTTAACTTTTTATAACTTAGAAAATTGAGTGGAAACCTGATTAACTTATTAAAATGACTTAAGCAATATAAAAATATGTTGTCTTGATTATGTCTGGTCATTATATTTTTTACAGTGTATTAAAATCCAAATTCCTGCTTTTTAAGATTAGTTATTTATCATGACCTTACAATGTACAACTTAATTTTCATTAACTAACGTTATCAAAGTAAATAATATTGTAATTATCGTACGTTTTGTCCCAAATAACTGTAAAAATAGTGTATTTTCACTGACAATTGTGGCAAAAATGTTGGGTTCCTCACAATTCCTTCATGCTGTTCTAACACAAATCAATTAAACTTACTTAATTGTATTTACAAATTTAAGTTGATTCAACATAAAACAATTAATTTGTCTAAAAAATTTAAGAATTGTGTTGTTTCAACTTATTTTTAAATACACAGTTTAAACAAGCAACTAATGCCATTTTTTTAAATGTGTGAATGCAATTTATGAAAAATCCAATAATTCACGTTTTTGTGTGTGTATTTGGATTATTTTCTCATTAAATATTCTTAACCATTGTATTGAACCCCATTTATCAGTTTACTATTTCAACAAACTTTGAAATCCCTGTGCCATATTTGATGACATTATAAAGACGTTAATGCATCTTATTATGCATTCAGCAGATTCTTTAATATTGGTAATGTTGCCAGTTTTGTTACTTTAGAATAAACTATAACATTACTCTGCAAAAAACAAGTCTTGGTTCTAGTCCAAATATCCAATAAGTCTTATATCAAGAAGGATTTTCTAGACAACCAAAAAAGATTGTCTTATTTTAAGAAATAATATGTAGATTAAGTGTTTTTTTTTTCATGAAAACAAGCAAAATAATACCAATGAGGTACATAAAATAATCTTATTTCAAAGCTAAAACAAGATTATCTTGCTTACCCCATTGGCAGATTATTTTGCTTGTTTCAAGAGAATACTCACTTAATATCGGCACATTATGTCTGAAAACAACAAAATTTTCTGCTTGGCCAGAAGCTTGATTTATTAATTTGTAGATATTGTGACTAGAAACCAGATAAAAAGCTCCATTTTAACAATCTAGGAGCAAAGTCTAAAGCAGATGGCATTAAGGATGTGTCTGAATGCACTTTTTGCTATTTTAAGGATGGAAAAATACGCTCTGAGCCCTGGCGCATGGTCTAACAGGGTTTTGCTTATTCTCTTAAAGATTTATAGGTGTGTTTAGAGCTTAATTTGCATTCAAGTCTCATCTCCCATTCCCTTTAAGAGTCAGTTGTGTCGCGCCATGGCGCATTTGCTATTTACATGGCAGAAAAACTGAACGCTTCACTAGCGAGAAAACAGTTAAACAGGGCATCTGCTGCGCAAGGATAAAGAATGAGCCTCCACCATTCAGCCTCTTTACTTTCTTTTTACTTTACTTTTACTCTTTACTACTTTACTTTCATGGATGAGGAAACGGTGTTGTACGCACTTCGTTAGCCTACATATTTAATAGTTAGTTACGCTCAAAGATTTGTTTCTAATTACCAGCAAATTAATAAATAAACAATAATAATGAAGTGTGGTAAAAAAAAATAATAAAATAAAAAACATTTTATATTTAAACGTATGTATGGTTTGGATAAGGTGATGTGACGTCTCCAAAACCCCACAGGTGGACAAATCTAAACTTGTTTTTTTTTTTAAACAAATATAAATATGCATCAGGGCTCGTACAATCTGGTAGCCCGACGTGCATATAAAATTATTACTGCTAATAATAAATAATGAATAAACTGAGAAGCACTATATATCTATATACAAGATATTTGTGTGTTGCTGTATCCTGTTTGTATTAAGCAATGTGTAAGCGTTTGGACCTGTTCAGGCGCATAACTAACGCTGGACTGCACTGGACTTTAGAGCTGCTTTAAGTTGGTCAATGGCGGGGTCTATTTCAGTTTCTCAAAATAGCAACGCACCAACAATGTGCCTTAACACACCTCCTTTATAGATCAGCACACCCATCAGTCCACAAAGTGGTGCAAATAGATTTGCTATTTAAAAAACATCGCACAAAACTGGAAAATTACAGTTGCGCTGGTCTGAAAATAGCAAAAAAATCATACCAAACACGTCTTGCGCCTTATTGTGCCGGGGTGTATAATAGGGCCCAAAAACTTTAAGTATAAAAATTTTGAAATGTGTGAAATAATGTCAAAATTAAGTGTTTTTTTTTTCTTGAAACTAACAAAACTATCTGAATAATCCAATAGTATCTGGATGCAGCCTTTATGATGCAAGCTGAGATTACTCAGTGATGCAATGTTAGACTCAATGCACTCAATGGAGTGAGTGACGTCACTGTGATGGGTAGGGTTAGGGGTAGGTGAGCCCTTTAAAAATAATTTAATGCAGCTAAGATTGCACTACACCAGGTCTGCATCCAGATCCCTCTCCAATAATCTGCCAAAATGTAAATTAATCCTATTTTAAAGCGAACACAAGTTTGCTCGTTTTAAGGAAAAACTCACTACATTTCTTTCATTATTACTGAAAACAAGACAAAATTGTCTGCTTGTCGAGAAAATGCTACTTGATTTAGGACTTTTTAGATATTTGGATTAGAAACAAGACTAACCATCTTTTGCAGTGACTGTACATTATGATTTGATGGTATTCTACAAACATCCTAGACTAATCCTACAGTTAAAAGCCTAATAATCCTCCAGTACTCGGCTACAGTGCTGAAGAGCCACCTGCTCCTGAAGTATTACAGCTTGTTCCTGGTTTTGCGGTTTTATGTAGATCTGAGTTCAGATTCTGGTCAGGTCTTGTGTCCACTGGCGTGACCTGTTCAGAATGTTACGCCTAAGCACGAGGCATCTAGTCTGCGAGTCTATTAATAACACTTTCACTTTTAGAGAGTCACATTTGCAGTATCGAAAGGGCAGCGGACTGCAGAGTCAAGCATGTCACTACACTCGAAAAATGATTTAAAAAAAAATTAAAATGAGCTAAAACAACAAAATTCTTGGGTTTTATTTAACTGTTTTGCGTTCAATCCACTTAAATTGGTAAAAACAATTGTTAGCTTAATCAATTTGTGTTGGGGTGACATAAAAAGCATTAAGTTAACTAATTCGTTTTTGCAAATTTAGGTAGATCAACATAAAACAATCACGTTGTCCCTCCCAAAAACTCAAGAATCGTGCTGTTTCAGCTCTGCTTTAAACAAGTAGTTTGAACAAACAATACGCGTAATTGTTTTGAAGTGTTGATCTTGTTTTAAGGAGAACATTAAGTTGTTTTAACATAGGCTCATTCTGAAAATGTGCCCCTATATACATTTCTGGAGATCGTAAATTATGTAGCCAGAGGTATGTATGGCTGCATTTTATCTTTAAAACAGACGATACGGCACCGATATGACTCTGTTTCTTTTCGCGCTTACCAGTTGACCACTTTTCTCAGTGTGGACGGCTTTTCCACTGTTACTAGTTTGTCCAGTGGCTCGCCACATACGCTGACAGACTTGAGATGCAGAGAAGAGTTGACTACGACCACCAACACAGGCTCATTCTGAAAACGTACCCCTATATACATTTCTGGAGATCGTGAATTATGTATCCAGAAGTATGTATGGCTGCATTTCGTCGTTAAAATGAATGCTACAAGGCGGCATGACGCCTTTTCATGCTTATCAGCTGATCGCTTACCTCTGTATAGATGGCTTTCCTGCTGTTATTAGTTTGGCTCAACGCGTCAAGTCAGTAGACTTGAGACAAAGAAAAAAAGAATTGACCGTCACGACAGGGTTTGAGTCCTGCAAAGAATGGTTCCAGAAAGTGGGTAAGACATAAACAGAAGCCAAAAACTAAAATAAACAAGTAAATAACAGGGTGAGAATGTGGTTAGATCTGAAAACGTGGTAAAATCAGACGAGGACTTTTCTTTTTTCTGGATTGCTTTTGAAAACACTGTCGGTTGGGTTTAGGGAAGTGGGCGCTGGTCAATCGGTGCTTTCGAAAACATCATTGGTGGGTCAGTCGATCAGTCAGTAGACAGCGGCCTCTGGTGCATTTACACATGAACAGCAGGTGCGAGTGTCACTCGTGAGAGAAATTTGAGATCTGAAAAAGCGTACAGAGCGGCCTCTGGTGGATTTGCGAAAACTAAAACTGCAAAAACTCATAGCTACCGGGATGTATGTTGCGCTGTCCAGAAATGTATAAATTGGTATGTTTTCAGAATGAGCTTGGGTTGGATCATTTTAAGATTATTTATCTTTTTCTTTTTAGTTACAAAAGCTTAAACTTAGATATTTTAACAGCAAATTTAGCTTAATTACTATCAGACATAATTTAAGACCAGCCTTGTCTCAAAAATATGAATGTTGCTGTTGAAACAACACAATTCTGGAAATTCTTCTGGGACAACTTAATAGTTTTATGTTCAGTCCACTTAAATTGGTAAAAATAATTAAGTTAACTTAATCGATTTGTGTTGCGACAACATGAAGGTATTTGTGTGGAGGCCAGCATTTTTTTACAGAGTAAATATTAAAGTTTGAGAATGCGCTAATTGAAAACTCTTATTTATTGGCCAATGTTGAAAATATGCCAAATGATGTCTTTAGTGTGGTAACTGGCAAAAACCTCCTTATAAAGTCAAGAGTTACAATCGTATTTCAAGACAAAAAAATTCAGGGTGCCACCAACGCAATCTCACAATAATTCGTAACTTTTTGATTTAGTGGCTAATTCGTACAATCTAATTCGTACAATTTAGTACGATTTACTCATCACCCAATGACGGTTGGGGTTAGGGGTGGGGTTGGGTGCCACGCCTCCTTTTTAAAATCGTACGACTGAACTCCGTACAAATACCATAGGAATTAGCCACTAAACTGACAAAATTTAAAATACTTACGTTTCCTCGTGAGATCAGGCTGCACACATATGATTTGTGTTGGGGGAACATGAAATAATTAAGTTACCCTAGAAGTTTTTACAAATTTAAGTGGATTAAACATAAAACAATTAGTTTATCCCAAAACCAAAATAAAAAAAAACTCTAGAATTGTGTTGATCCAACTCATATTAAATAAGTAGATAAGTAGTGTGAAGAAGCAACAAACATTTTATTTGAGTGTTGATCTTGATCTAAGAATACAATATACTATGCAAGATTAGGCTGTGTAAAATTATCATGATTGTTTTTGCTTAGTTAAAGACTAAAGTTAGCTATTTTACCTTTATTCTTAAAAACATCTTTTAAGACCAGCCTAAGACTTCATTTTAGCTGTAATAGCTTGTTTTAGGGGGCGGCATGGTGGCTCAGTGGAACACTGTTGCCTAACAGCAAGAAGGTCGCTGGTTTGAGTCCCAGTTGGCATTTCTATGTGGAAATGTTGGCGTGGGTTTCCTCTGGTTTCCCCCAGAGTCCAAACACATGAGCTATTGGTTCATTTAATATTTTATATTTGGATGGTACAGTTTTGTGCAATAAGCCTTTATTTGTTTCTTCTATGATGCCATTTTAAGTTAAACTTGAGGATCATTTTTGAAAGCATTTATTTGGGTAAATCCTCCACTGTTCTGTTATTGCTGTAGGTTTATATGTTGTAGAACTGCTTTTGCCCTTAGTTTTATTTGACAATGTGTGACAAAATGACATTGACTTAAAAATGTAAGATGGATTTAACAAGTGCAGCCGGCGCTAAATAGAGGCAAGCATGTTAAGGAAGTATTAGAGTTAATGGAGTTAATAAACCAGTCTCTTAATAAGGTGACCAGTCAGTAACAAGTAAAGCTGCCATCTTAAATCAGGTTTGTCAGCTTAGGGTCACCATCTGTCTGCTGACACAAAGTTAGTTTAATGCTTAGTTTGCAGGTAAATGTTCATTGCTGTTATTATAATAATGATCATTTATTTTAATATGACACTTTTAAAACTTCAATTGTGCAAGTGCCACTTTTATAAGCCAGCCTCTAATGGTAAAAATGTATTAATTCTGTTTTATAATCACACCTGATAAAAACGGTCTGCAGAAACACTTTGATTGACATTCTCCCTTTGTACATGTCATCAAAGGGGGAAAGCCCCGCCTACTAATGACAATCTCTCACTCATTAGCATAGATAGCCCTGAATAAGAAGTACAGATCACTTTAGTCATGTTTTGAATCTGCCACTATGCTGATGCATAGGTGTTTGTGGCCACGCCCCCTTTTGAAAAGAGCACCATCTCATTTGAATATAAAGCAACAGTCATGAAAACAGCACAATTTGGATCAAAGCATAAAAGGGGCAGTTTCAAAAGTTATAACACATTATTTTTGTGGCATTTTGTGCTGAAACTTAACATCCACACTCTTAGGACATCAGAGAATTATTTTACATCTTGTAAAAAGGGACATAATAGGCACCCTTTAATTCTCATAGTGCTTTAAGGCTGGGACACACCACCAAATAACTAGCACCAAAGAAACCCAACTGTGTCATCGACTTGCGTTGGCTCATGTCTGGACTAAAAAGCTGCATGTAAACACACAAAACAGATGAAAGCCGACTGAAACAAAAGTCGATAATGGCTGACGTAGCCCAATGGCCGATCATCGGCTTGGTACATATAATGTATATGTATAATAAACATTGTCAGAAACTATCCACAGCCATATCAACCTGCAGCTCAAGACCGGTTACTCTTGAGCCTGGTCAGTACCTGGATGGGAGACCACAAGGGAAAACTAGGTTGCTGTTGGTGTGGTGTTAGTGAGGCCAGCAGGGGGCGCTTAACCTGTGGACTGTGTGAGTGCTAATGCCCCAGTACAGTGAAGGGGACACTATACTGTAAGTGAGCGCCGTCTTTTCGGATGAGACGTTAAATCGAGGTCCTGACACTCTGTGGTCATTAAAAATCCCATGGCACTCTCGTGAAGAGCAGGGCCCCCAACCTATCATGGCCACTGAATTGGCGGTATCACTATCTCTCAACTCCACCTATAGCTGGTGTGTGGTGAGTGCTTTGGCACCGTTGTTCTGTGGCTGCCGTCGCATCATCCAAGTGGATGCTGCACACTGGTGGTGGTGTAGAGAGACCCCCCACCCTAATGATTGTAATAAATGCACTATATAAATACAAATTCCATTACAATGTAAATGTACAAAACTGATCGGAAATACACATACACCTCACAAATAGGTAAGTCTAAAACAGTGAAAAGACAATTAAAACTTATTGAGGATCCATGCAAGACCTTTTAAGCATTTGAACGTGAAAACTAACAGGGAGCCAATGTAGAGTTTCCAAAACTGGAGTGATGTGGTTCCTGTAAGAATTAGCTGGATTATTATGGACGTACTGCAGTTTATTTAGGGTGGATTTTGAAAGACTTGCAAGCAAAGACTTGATTTGTTATTACTGTAAACAGTACATTTGAATATAAAGATGGAAAAATGTAAGTGTACTTAACAGTGTACTGATGATTCTGAAGACCTTCCAACACTGTTCCTCCAGTGCTGACCCCATCTGAACTTTTTGAGGAGAATCGGTGTGAAGATGGCTGGTTCAATTGGCAAGATGATGTCGAGCCGCACCACTGGCCTGCTCATGGCAAGCCTCGGAGCTGGTGCTTTGGCGACCGGATATATGATGAGTGACAGTGCTGCAATCTCTGCGGACGAGAAGAGGAAACTCTACCCTCCCAGGTAAGACTTGGATATACTTCTCTTGTTCTACTCATGCTCAAGAAAAGTCCCTGAGAACTAGGGAAGTTAGGTTGAAAACATCCATTTAATGCATTTAAAGGCATAACTAACCCAAAAATGGACACAGTATTTACTCATCTTCATGTAACCCCGCTGGCACTACACCACCCAACCTGATTCAAGCTGGGATTAACCCAGCGACTCTCCTCTTGGGAGTCAGTTGCTCTAACAAGGAGGCTAAGGACCATTGCCTCTAGAGTCTGTCGCTAAAGCATATTTCGGGTTCAGAGGAGTGAGGTTTACCTGCATAGCACTTCACTAGCTGGCCTTTGTAACACTCACCCTTCTAAACCTCACTTCCATCCGGGTCATGGCACCAATGTAATCCCCCCAGTCCTACACCACCCAACCCGTTCTGAGCTGGGATCCAACTGGCAACTCTCTGCAAGGAAATCTGTTACTCTACTAAGGAGGTTAAAGACCACATCTGTCAAGCACCTTTTCGGGTTCAGAGGAGTGTGGTTTGCCTTCACAGCACTTTACTAGCATTGCTTTACATTTTAATGTACTGGCCTCTGTTACAATGGTTATAAGCCTTCGAGTTTCTCTATTCTGTTGAACACAACAATGATATTTTGAAGAGAGCTGAAAACCTGTAAACATTAACCTCCATCGTAGGCATAAAAAAATACAATGGAAGTAAAAGATTACAGGTTTTTCAGAGTTCAACTGAATCAAGCAAAGTATTTATGTGTTCAACAAAAGAAAGTGACCCATAAGGTGTAAATCAAGTAAAGGGCGAGTAAATGATGACAGAATTTAAACTTTTGGGTGAACTGCTCCTTTAACTTGCACTTGCTCTGCAAGGCAAAAAATATGATCAGTTGAAAAGGTCATGATGTACTTTGATGAAGTGTCTCACGCTAACTAAGTGAAAGGTAAATGGGTGGGAACATGACACTTAAGTAGCTTATGTCCTGTCCCACACGCCACCTCTTTTACCCTTTACGTTAGTAGATGTCAAAGATCAAATCAGATCATCAGTCTAAGACTGATTGAAGTTTACTAGAGGAACCAACTGTAAAGAAAGATGTTTTCTAGGTTGATCCTAAAAGACCCTTCACCCAAATACAAACCAAGAAACCACAGCAACTCTGTCTGACCAGCTAGTCTCATGTTACAGTCAAACAGAATTTGGATTTAGGCCCAGTTCACAAGAAGTCCATCTGCCCTGAATGTCACCGTCAGGTTTTGTGATCCTCTGAGTTCACTAATATAATCCTGGATAGACTTACAGGTAGTAATCCAATATGAAGCCGATGCTAGTGTAGTCCTGACTGAATCCTTATCAAGGCCCAATCCCAATTCTCTTTTTTTACCCCTACCCCTTCCCCTTGGCCCTCAAAACAGAGTGTAAGGGGAAAGGCTTACAATTTACCCTAGGGTATGGGACAGGACTTACTTTACGAGCTCTTACTTCATAGGACATTGATGATGGCGACTGCTGTAGTTATTCCAGTAGCATAATTCTTTAGTATTTATCATCAGGAAATCACTAAAGGCAATGGTATCAAGTTATCAATGTGGCAATAAGCTTGCAACTGTACTGTGTATTTACAACATGGCCATATTCATCTATGTAAGCACAAGAAAACAGCATTAACATTATACCACACCTTGAAAAAAGGTAACTCCATGTTGCCTTTGTAGCTGGTGTATTCTGGAAAATTTTCGTACCCCTTGGGTTCTAGTGTGGTCCTGGAAAAATCTGTTTCAAGGACTATCTAGCCCTTCCCCTTAGCCCTACGCCTACAAGCTAAAGAGAACTAGGACACAACTAGCCCTTCACGTGAACGTGGAAAATGAGGGGTAGAGGTAAGGGGAAGGAGTAGAATTGGAATTGGGCCTAAGTCTGGCCTCAGAGCTGGAGCCAGTGATGACTTTGCACATAGTGAACGGGTTGTACAGCCTTATACCAGAAGATAGAAATGACTTTCTAAGGGGCGCATCAAGGTTGCTTTACTGAAACACACTACTCATTCCTATCAGAATGCCATGATCGAAGTGACAAACAACAATTTAGACATAATTTTCCTCTCAGGTTCTACTTTCATGGGCACAAAATACAACATGACTCACAACATATCTGTTTCTACTCTAAGATACAAATTAAACTTGCGAAAACATGGAATATTGCATAAAACATTTGCATAATAAATTACTTGTGTCTCAGAAGGCGACGAAAAAAATGCAATGATTGTGTGGTGACTTTTGCCGGTATGAGATGCTCTCTGGGACCTCAAATAGTCAAGACAGTTCTGGGAGGGAATAAAACTGAACCACTGTGATGACAGGCTTTGGCTGAGATTGACCAAAACAACTATTCAGATGTTTTACAATGTGGTCTGTCTGCTGGTTTCTGCATTAATGCCATCTCATTGTGCGCATCTTCATCATCATGTGACCTGTTAAAACAAAATCACATGACTTTTTTGATACACATTCTGGAATTTGTCCATTGTGGAATTTGAATAAATGTCTATTGTGGCAGCACGGTGGTTCAGTGATTAGCAAGAAAGTCGCTGTCGTGTGTAGTTTGCATGTTCTCCCAGTGTTGGCGTAGGTTTCCTCTGGGTGCTCCGGTGTCCCCCAACAGTCCAAACACATGTGCTATAGATGAACTGGCCAAACAAAATTGGCCCTAGTGTATTAGTGTGTGTGTAAAAGCGAAATTAAACAGTAGTTTATGCACTTTTTTTGTCTTAAAATAAAAAAATTATCCTATTCAGTTATGCGAATAAATGCACATTTTCACAATGTATGCATAACTTGGAATTTTCATTATGGCAATTCTTATGGCAATTGTGTTGCTTCACAGTGCTGACTTCCCTGACCTTCGCAAGCACAACAACTGCATGGCGAGTGCGCTGACCCCGGCCATCTATGCCAAACTGAGGGACAAACTCACTCCCAACAACTGGACTCTTGACCAGTGCATTCAGACTGGTGTGGACAACCCTGGTCATCCCTTCATCAAGACTGTTGGAATGGTCGCTGGTGATGAGGAGAGCTATGAGGTACAGCAACACATTTGAGTGTATTAATGCAGTTTTCACGTGAGACAATATCTTCTATATATATTGTAAATATGTAGTTCCTGGAAAGGGTCCACAGCATGCGTTATTTTTGGATTACTAACTTCTTAACCAGCTTATCCAGCAGACATCCTTGATAATCTTGCTTCTACAGATATGTTGTTTTTAAAAGTATGACTAAAGCAGTCTTTCTAGCCTCGCTAAACATTCTGCTGTTGAAGCAAACTAGAGTGGACTAGGGGACAATAAGCAATACCGCAGCACTGACATTAACCAGCTTGGCCAAGTCAATTTGATTAGTGTATAAGCTGGTCTTGTGTTTCGTTGTATGGAGAGAGTCCATGTTTTAAGATCAATATTTAATTCAAATTATTTTTCGTGTCAGAAGTAAACATAGCAGTTCATGCTTCAAAACAACAACAAAACTATAGATGCCATGAAGCCAAAGGGAAGACAATCAGAACAACTACTTTAGGCATATCCAGCAACTTCTAAACAATATTTGTCCAACTTTAAAGGGTGTTGACCTTTGCACTGTTGAGCCTGGCAGTAGTACCTTCCAGCAAGACAATGTCTTTAAAGTATGAAAACCAGGTAAAGGTTGAGGAAGAAGATGAACTCAATCCATATGAATCCATGTCTAACTAGTCTTTTTGGCAGCAGTACTTGAAGCTGGTAAGGTCCTTTTTTGATGAGCACTTAACTGAAGAATCAAATCTAATATTCAATTCAATTCAATTCAGCTTTATTTGTATAGCGCTTTTACAATGTAGATTGTGTCAAAGCAGCTTCACATAAATGGTCATAGTAACTGGAACAGTGTGGTTCAGTAACTGGAACAGTGTGGTTCAGGTTTTAGTGTTTAAGTTCAGTTCAGTTCAGTTTAGCTCAGTTCAGTGTGATTTAATCATTAATAAAAGAAAAAGTAGGGGATTTCAAGGTATGTCTAAATGTAGAAAATCAAAAAGAATAGAACATACAAATCTCCAAAATATATCCAAAATAATGCCTCACTGGACATTCCCAAAATATCAACCCAGGCTCATTCTGGAAACGTAGCCCCGTGAACGTTTCTGGAGACCGCGAAATACATCCCGGGAGGTACGTATTTGTGCAGTTTTTGTTTTCGCAAATTTATGAAAGGCCGCTGTGCCATGAATTTTCGCGTCTCGAACGCCTCTCGGAAGCGCGCGCTGTTCTCGCGTGAAAAGCTGCCAGAGGCCGCTGTCGAGCGACCGTCTGTCCGACTGACTGAATAACTGAAAGATAAACTGGGCAGCCGGCAAATCGGCCGACCCAACCACCCTCCTCCTCCTTTCCTAAACCCAAGCAACGGTTTACAAAAGCCGTCCAGAAAAGAAAAGCAAAAGCCCTCGTCCGATTTTGACCGAGTTTTGGTATTTCACTGCATTCTCTCCCCGTCTCGAACTCGTTCACTTATATTTTTTGGATTCTGTTTTTCATCTTACCTGATTTCTGGAACCGCTCTACCCTCGGACTCAAACTTGGTCGTCGCCGCGGGTGGCTCCTCCTCCTCCGGGCCTTCGCAACACTACGAGCTAAGCGGACAAACTGGTTGTGGCGGGAAAGCCCTCCATATGGAGGTGAGCCATCACAGCCAGCAAGCGCGAAGAAGACAAGCACCATCATGCCATCCCGTAGCGTTTGCTCGAAAAAACGTAAACCTCTGGCCACGTAAATCGCGGTCTCCAGAAACGTCCGCGGGGCTATGTTTTTAGAATGAGCTTGGGTTGCAAAATAAGTATGTAAGACCCTAAAGCACAGGAGTCAAACTCAGTTCCTGGAGGGCCGCAGCTCTGCACACTTTAGTTCCAACCCTAATCAAACACACCTGATCAAACTAATCGAGTCCTTTAGGATTGTTTGAAACCTACAGGTAAGTATGTTAGAGTTGGGTTGGAACTTAATTGTGCAGAGCTGCAGCCCTCCATTAATGATTTTGACACCCTTGGCTTTCAGGATATGTATTATAAAAGTGACAAAAAAGATCAGACATAACTTTCATCTTGTCTAATATGGTGGAAGAGACAACACTCTTGACCTTTCTGCTACTATTTAACGTTGCAGGTGTTTGCTGAAATCTTTGATCCTGTAATCAAGGACAGACACAATGGCTATGACCCAAGAAACATGAAGCATCCCACTGACCTGGATGCCAGCAAGGTACACAATCTTTTTACGCAAAACGATTTTCATAGAATTCCATTCGATTCCATGCAGTCTGATTTTTTTTTTTTTTTCGATTTTGCAGCTCCATTCAGGCATGTTTGATGAACACTACGTCCTGTCCTCCCGTGTGCGCACAGGCCGCAGCATCCGTGGCCTCAGCCTTCCCCCTGCCTGTAGCCGCGCAGAGCGTCGTGAAGTGGAAAGGGTGGTAATCCAGGCCTTAGCTGGACTGAAGGGAGACCTCTCTGGACGTTACTACAGCCTGACTGAAATGACTGACCATGAGCAGCAGAGACTCATTGATGTGAGTTGCTTCAAAGTGACAGAGCTCTTGGCTAAAGAAACATTCCACTTTTTTGGCAATAGGATCATTTCACAAGTCCCCAAAACTAAATAGCTGAGTTTTACCATTTTCGAATCCATTCAGCCAACTTTTTTTTATTTAAAGCTTGACTCCTCTGTAGTTATTACATCGTGCACCACTAAGATCAACAGAAAGTAAAAGGTTGCTATTTTCTAGGCCGCTACAGCAAGGAATTATACTGTCATTCTGACATAATATTCAAGGGACTTTGCTGCTGTACCATGGCTGTGGCAGGCACAATGTTATTATTAGCAAAATTCCTTGATTTCTGTGCTGCATTGAGAGTATAGTTCTGAGCCATATTAATCAAGAAAAATCGCAACTTTTTCCATTTTCCATTGATCTAAGTACGTGACGTATTTACAAAAGAGTCAAGGGCCGGTGTCCTGTATTATTCTCCAACACCCTTCTACACACCTTCCTGAAAGTTTCTAGTACACCTAGAAAGAGCTTACCCTTCTGAAAAATTCAGCTTAAACCAGCCTAGGCTGGTTGGCTGGTTTTAGCTGGTTGACCAGGCTGGTTTTAGAGGGGTTTTGGCCACTTCCAGGCTGGTTTCCAGCCATTTGCAGCCTAGTCTTAGCTGGTCAGGCTGGAAAATGACCAGCTAAATCCAGCTAAAACCAGCTGGACCAGCCTGGTTTAAGCTGGACATAGCTGGTTTTGGCTGGGCTCCCAGCCTGGCTAGGCTGGTCAAGCTGGTTTTTGCTGGTCATCTCCCAGCCTGACCAGCTAAGACCAGGCTGGAAATGGCTGGAAACCAGCCTGGAAATGGCCGAAACCCCTCTAAAACCAGCCTGGTCAACCAGCTAAAACCAGCCAACCAGCTTAGGCTGGTTTAAGCTGGATTTTTCAGCAGGGTTAGCTGATTCAGTTGTGTCTAACTGGGGTTGGAACTAAACTCAGGACCTTCAGGACCGAGTCTGGGCACCCCTGGTCTAATCCAATTCAATGATTTATGGTAAGCTAAGCTAAAAAAAGGCTACCACCAGACCCATAGATCGGCTGAATGGATTAAAAAATGGTAAAACCCAACAGTTTAACTCTAGAGAAGCTGTAAAATGAACCGATGTTCAAAAAAGTGGAGTGGTTCTTTAAGTGTTTCAATTGAGAATGACTGGGTTTACTTCCACACATCATGATGCTAAAATCTTCCTTTCATGCTGGCACGGCTTAGGAGCATTTTCTCTTTGACAAGCCTGTGTCTCCTCTGCTCACTGCATCTGGGATGGCCAGGGACTGGCCTGATGCTCGTGGGATCTGGTAAGGTTAGAGCAGGGGTGTCCAAACTCGGTCCTGGAGGGATGATGTCCTGCAGAGTTTAGCTCCAGCTTGCTTCGTCACACCTGCCAGAAAGTTTCTTGTATGCAAGTTAAACTTGCTACATCTGAAATTGCACACTTCCTTACTATATAGTATGTTAAAAACAGTATACGAAGCGAGCAGTATGTTCGAAGTCAGTACTTGAAAAACGTTATGCGAGAAGAACATGGATCACCTACTACTTCCGGCGAGATTCTGAAGTGCGCATTCGATAGACGCTACAATATCCCATCATGCCACACAAGAGACTTCATGAATAGGAGAGAATCGATGCAACTGACACAGGTAGGTCACATGATAATGACATATTGCCGATGTAGTACGTCCAAATTACATTCGTACTCACATTCATACTATATAAAATGCACTTTTCTAATGGTCGTGTAGTAAACGAACGGTTCGAACACAGCCCCTGGTTAGCTGGTTCAGCTGTGTCTAATTAGAGTTGGAGCTCTGCAGGACACCGAGCCTCCAGGACCAAGTTTGGGCACCCCTGGATTAGAGGGAAAGAGAAAAGACCCCAACAGCCCCATGCTTTTCTCCTATCTCACAAGTTTTTTTATAGGTTACGATTGTCTCAAGTATTGCTCCCTGTGTCTTGCCTTCCCATTACTCTTTATTCCTCAGTTCCATCTAGCCTTGTCTTCCTGTCATCCCTCTCTAGGACCACTTCCTGTTTGACAAACCTGTTTCCCCCTTGTTGACTTGCGCCTTTATGGCCCGCGACTGGCCAGATGCAAGAGGCATCTGGTATGACTTTTGAAAATTCTTAGCATGTCTTGATCTCCAATTGTGTAGCTAACGAGATTCACACATTTATGTGCAAGTAAAAAACTGCCTTCAGATAAAAAGTGGCGTAAATTCAACGTCATTTTGAATGCATGACATGAGATTCTACTGCAAGATTGCGTGGCTTAAAACCTTATTTTAATCTTTCATACAAGACAGATTGCTTTTTTATTAAAAGCTCTTCCGTGTGTTAAATCTAATCATAAGGCACAACAATGAGAAGACCTTCCTGATATGGGTCAATGAGGAAGACCACACCCGTGTCATCTCCATGGAGAAGGGTGGCAACATGAAAAGGGTGTTTGAGAGGTTCTGCAGAGGACTCAAACAGGTACCAAACCTTTCCTCCTTGTTCTAGAATGTGTGGTTCTATTTGACACATGCATGTGGTAAATTTGTCCTGTAAAGTTATTGTCTTGCATCTGAAGGCTGCTTCTGTGTTGAACAGGTGGAACACTTGATTCAGGAGAGGGGCTGGGAGTTCATGTGGAATGAACGTCTTGGCTACGTCTTGACCTGCCCATCCAACCTGGGCACCGGCCTCAGGGCTGGAGTACACGTCCGCTTGCCAAAGCTCAGCAAGGTAATTAACTAATCTTATCTAAACGGCACACTTTTCAGAAAGGCATTTCTAACATAAGTCTAAATATCCGAAATAACTGCCTGTAGGACCCTCGCTTTGGCAAGATCCTGGATAACCTGCGGCTGCAAAAGCGTGGCACTGGAGGTGTGGATACAGCTGCGGTGGGCGATACCTTCGACATCTCAAACCTTGACCGCCTGGGCAAATCCGAGGTGGGTCATTCAAAGCTAGTGGGCTAACTATACAGAGAGTTACATTTATATTAGACATGCACCAAAAATAAAACTTTGGACCAAAACCAAAAATTCTGGATGCACTTGCCCAAAAATCAACCTAAAGATTCATTCATTCATTTTCTCGTCGGCTTAGTCCCTTTATTAATCCGGGGTCACCACAGCGGAATGAACCACCAATTTATCCAGCAAGTTTTTAACGCAGCGGTTGCCCTTCCAGCCGCAACCCATCTCTGGGAAACATCCACACACATTCACACACACACTACGGACAATTTAGCCTACCCAATTCACCTGTACCACATGTCTTTGGACTGTGGGGGAAACCGGAGCACCCGGAGGAAACCCAGGGAGAAGACAGGGAGAACATGCAAACTCCTCACAGAAACGCCAACTGAGCAGAGGTTCGAACCAGCATCGCAGCGACCTTCTTGCTGTGAGGCGACAGCACTACCTACTGCGCCACTGCCTCGCCCAACCTAAAGATGCATTGTAATAATTATTTTATTATATAATATAATTTTGTAAGACTTTTTAAATTTTTAGTTAGCTTAGATTGCCTTCGGTTTTCACCACAATCCAAAGACATGCAGTATAGGGGAACTGGATAAACACCAAAAATTTACCGTAGTGTTTGCGTGTTTCTCAGCTTTGAGGATTCAAGAGTTAGTGTACTCTTAGTGCTGGGTTGTGGCTGTGAGGGCATTTGCTGCTTAAAACATCTGCCAGAGTAATTGGCGGTTCATTCAGCTGTGGCGACCCCTGATAAATCAGGCACTAAGCCAAAGGAAAGTGAGTCAGTGAAGAGATTATTCTGACGTAAAAAAAAAACAACAACCACATTTTATTGACTGAATGAGTTGAGAGGCATCGAGTGAATGGGTTTCATAGAGCAGCGCTTTTCCCGTCTGGTGTGAAAGCAGCGCCACTCCATGCAATGACCTCGGCTACATGACTGCATCTTTTAGCTCATATTTTTGGCCATTTTTCTCTTTCGTCCAAAAATCTGAAAATGCTGAAAATTGGGTGCATCCCTATAATGAATATGATTTTCCATTTCTGCTGTGCTTGCCTTTACCAGGTGGAACTGGTGCAGCTGGTGGTTGATGGGGTCAACTACCTCATAGAGTGTGAAAAGAGGCTGGAGAAGGGCCAGGATATCAAGGTCCCCGCTCCTTTACAGCAGTTTAAGAAGTGAGCGACGCTCCTCTGATGAACGCTGGACCCAACACAGCACAAAGAAACATGGACACTCCTTCCACCAATCCCAAAACTGAAGGTCTTATATGTATAGAAAGCTCAATAAAACAATTCATAAAAATATAAATGCTTTCTTATTTCGCTGGAACCACAAACATATTGTGCATTCAGCAAGGATAACTTAGCGTATCTAGCTTAATTAATCTTTACTAGGAGTCTACTATCTTATGGTGCTGCCAGAAGCTAAAGTATTTAGCGGCAGGATGTTACAACAACGTTAGCATTTACTCTGCTATCACAGACAGATAATGGGTTTATCGTAACAACGCTGAGCTAAATTTCTAAGAACCCAGACGCCCGACACATGGCCTGCGCACTACAGTAATTAGCATTAGGCTAGTCAAACCAAGTAACTTTTCTCCTAGACTTCCTGATGAGTCTCTTCACTTTATCCTTAATCACATCAGGTACTGATCCAATTAAAAAAGGTCTCTTGTAAAATAAATAACCTTCACAAACCAAACAAACAGTGTTTGTCAAGTTGTCAAGGTCTATTTTAACAGAACCCGTGTTACCTGATGGTTTAAACTGTAACTAATTTAACTCCAGACACCGGCCTCCCATCTTTAGACGGGCTAATCCAGTGCGGCTAATTTCTCTATTTGGAGCTGCTTAGTGCCGTTGCTAATAATGCTAATCTTGGTTATATACTTAAAGAGAAGCTGGTTACAGGGGTAAATAATGTGTCTGCACACCTAACAAATAAATGTGTTGGCTGTAAGATGCTTCAAAATATACAACAATGTATTTTTTAAAACCCACTGACGATGTTAATGAAGCTATATTTACCGCCTGATATAAACACTTTACAACATACACATTTTGCACAGGCTAAATGATGTTAAACTGAATATTAAACCCTATATTAATGTAGGAACAAGTAGTCAATAATAATGGAAGTTTCGCAAACTGACCCAATTACCTCAGTGAACTTTAATCCTTCTCCAGTTCTTCAATCGGATCTTCAGTGATTTGGCGGTTCCTTGCATGAAGGTTTTTAATGGAGCAGACCTCCCCCTACTGGCCATAGTGTGGAAATGCTCCATCATGATGTATAAATGATGTATTTTTAAATCCCAAATAGTAATTTTATAACTAACAAATCGGTACAATTGTTAATATTAATGGCATAAGATGTAAATAAATTAAAAATGACAAAACTTGTTTTATTTGCTGTGGAATAATGCTTAAATTAAAAGATGTATTACTTTTTAAAGCACCAAGTAGTGAGTTTTAGACAAAATGTAAAGTTATTTACCTTCTACATACCTCAAAAATTAGCCAATGAATAAAGGTATTCTTACATTATTTTCTTAAAGGGAAGGATCAAATCTGTTTTATTCATTTCTCCATTTTGGAGCTGCTTAGCGCCGTTTCCAATAATGCTAATCTTGGTTCTATACTTAAGAAAGAAGCTGATTACAGGGGTAAATTATATGTGCACACTTCACAATTAAATGTGCTGGCTGTAAGATACTGCAAACATACAGGTATTTTTTGAGTGTGTATGTGCACCCAAAACCCACTGAAGGTGTTAATGAAGTTATTTTACTGCCAAATATTTTACATTTTACCACATACATTTTGCACAGGCTGAAAGATGTTAAAGTGAATATTAAACTGTATATTAACGTAGGAACAAATAGTCAATAATAATGGAAGTTTTGCAAACTGACCCATTTAACGTTACCTCAGTGAACTCCAGTTCATCAATCGGATCTTCTTCAGTGGCAGTTCCTTGAACAAGGGGTTTTAATGGAGCAGACCTCCCCCTACTGGACATAGTGTGGAAATGCTCCATCATGATGTATTTCTTAATCACTAATAGTAATTTTATAACTAACAAACCGGTTCAATAGTTAATATTAATGGCATAAATTTTAAATAAATTAAAATTTACAAAATTTCTTTTATTTGCTGTGGAATAATGCTAAAATTTAAATATGTATTACTTTTTTTTTAAAAGCACCAAGTAGTGAGTTTTAGACAAAATCTAGTTATTTACCTTCTACCTACCTCAAAAAATAGCCAATGAATAAAGGTATTCTTACATTATTTTCTTAAAGGGAAGGATCAAATTTGTTTTTCATTTCTCAATTTTTGAGCTGCTTAGTTTCTAATAATATATATGTAATAATATTTAGTAATAATTTATGTAAAATACTACAAACATACTGTACTAAGAGGTATTTTTTAGAGTGTGTATGTGCACCCAAAACCCACTGACGGTGTTTACGCCAAATATAAACACATTTTACCACTTACATTTAGTACAGGCTGAATGTTAAATTGAATATTAAACTGTATATTAATGTAGGAACATGTAGTCAATAATATAAGTTTCGCAAACTGACCCATTTACCTCACTGAACTTTAATCCTCCAGTTCTCCAATCGGATCTTCAGTGATTTGGCGGTTCCTAGGTTTTTTAATGGAGCAAAGCTCCCCCTTCTGGTCATAATGAGGAAATGCTCCATCGTGAAGTACAAATGATGCAGTTCTTTATCACAAAAAGTAATTTTATAATAAACAAAACGCTACAATAACGTTAATATTAAGGGAATAAATATTAAATTAAATTTAAAAACTACAAAACATGTTTTATTTGCTGTGGAATAATGCTCAAATCAAAATATGAGTTACATTTTAAAATAAAAAGCACCAAGTAGTGAGTTTTAGACAAAATGTAGAGTTATTTATCTTCTACCTACCTCAAAAATTAGCTAATGAATGAAGGCATTCTTACATTATATTCTTAAAGGGAAAGAACAAATCTGTTTTATTCCTTAATGTTTAAAGCACAATATTGTGTGTGTGCCAGTGAGGTATTGAGACATATAATGGTCAATCAGACAGAAAGGTATTTGCTTTCCTTTTTATGACATCATAAACTTTATATGGGTGACAGTGACTAGTTTGTGATTCAACGTGTTACAAACTGAGATTATGAAGAACATGAAACCTTTTTCCACAGAAAACAGTGCAATCTAAGCAAAAAAATAATAAAAAATTACAGAGATGAAAGAGAAATATATATTTATATAATAATAAAAAAAAACATTTGCCACACACCTTTGACGTATTATGTGTTTCCATTAATGAACTATTGGGTTTGATTTCTTTTAATGTCATAAATGTGAAAGGCTTAACATTATACTCTGGTTCACCGCAGTATTCTGCCCATGAAAACAGTCAAGGTTTATCACACAGCAGATTACATGAGCTGAACATATCTCTGTGCAATTTAAGAACAAATTAAAAGGAACAACCCCGTCCTTCCCCGCCCCCAGATCTCACCACTTCTATCATCATCGAGTTCTCATTATCATGATTCGCTGACCACAATTAACACCCTTTCAACCTCTACAGGCTGAGAGACAGAGGTCTTTCTGCCGAAGGTCGGATGCAGCTAAGTGAGGGCAGGCTGGCGGGGTTCTGGACTGGGGAGGGGGGGGGGGGCTGTTTTGGAGGAGTGGGCAAAGGAAAAACAAGGGAAAGACGCCCATGCGATATCAGTCCACTGGCCGCTTCTCGCCATGTTTCTTTGTAAACTCTTCTGCGTTCTTAAAGAACTTTTTACGGTCTTTTGAATATTCCTCCGCCAGGTCGGCCCTCAGAGGGTGTTCTGGTTGCGGGTCGTTGACAAGGGCGATGAGAGACTGGATAACTGTAAAGACGGAGAAATAAATACATTTATATACATCCTCTAAGCCAAATGTCAAATTCCCTGACTAAAAAGCTGAATGTCAATGGTCTATTAGCACTGAGCAGACAAAAAGTATAAAATATATTTAAAACTCCCATGAAGTTAAAATAAAGTTTTAATAAATGTTAGAATTAGTATGCTAAGCTGTAAGGACATCTATAAGCTAGTGTGCTACAAAAACTGACCAAATTCACACTGATATAAACATCCAGTGCTTGCAGTTTGTCACTTCTGCCTAAGGCCCCGTTTACACTAGTGCGTTTTAGTTTTAGGGTGCTTTCACACCTACACTTTTGTTTCGGAACGTATCTCGTTTGCCCAGTTAGCGCGGTTCTCGGCTCAATTGAAACGAACCCAGGAGCGGTTCGATTGCAGTGAGAAAGCGATCCGATCCGAGCGCGGTTATATCACAGTGTTTTATGGATATGTATAAGGCTTACGGCTATATGAAGAGAGAATTATGAGTAGGGCGGGAAGTTTCGCGAGTCTCTGGATGCCTGCAAACGAGTGATGATCACCCGGTAATCTTGTGTCTCCCTCCCGGTCCTCAAATAGGCATCGTCGCGCACCCTTCTCACCCCTCCCCACCACGTCTCTCCTCATACACGTCGCGCGCACCTTGTTAATCACCACCAAACCACCACCTCTCCTGACAGCTGAGCGGGACGCTGCAAAATAAACCCTGACACTCTGACCAATGTGAGGAGAGTTTACTCGCACGTGACTTGTTTTAGCTCTTTTGGTCCGATTAGAAACTTTGCAGTGTGAAAGTGAACCGCTCCAAGAGCAAAGAGCAACAATGTAACAATTGTAATCTCTGTTTCAGAACAACTGAATCGATTCACAGGTGTGAAAGCACCCTTAAAAAGGCGTTTTAGATCATAACAATCCGCTTCCACACTAGCGTTTCACCCAGCGTTTCTGAACATATCTCCGTCCACACTACACCCCCAAAAACGTATATCACGTGACCATTCGTGCACTCTGGGCATGCGTGTTCTGGTATAAACAGGAAGCATGTGTCTCACTCAGCATTTAGTTATTGTTAGTCAACAAACGGCTGTTGAACAATGAACGTGATGGCGAAGAAAGCAAGAGAGGTATTTTTGTGGACAGACGACGAGGTCGAGTTGTTACTAAATGCAACAAATGAATAACTGCATAATGGTGCCTAAAACAGACAATAGTGCAAACAACGCTCCCATTTCTGTGTTCATGTTGTTGTTTACAGTGAAGGCTGGTCTGCTGTCTTTTGTTAGCGTTAAAGCCGTGTGTTATAGTCATGTGATAGGGGCTTGACGAATAAAGGAAGGATACGCAATGACACAAAAGCCCCAATCAGGTAGCGAATCTCAGCAGCC